AAATATTTATTGGCAGACACAGAGCTAGCTACCAAGCAGCCCTCATACCTGACGCCCCGTGGATGCACAAAGTCCTGTCCTCAGAGACTGACAGTAACACACTCAGGACTTTTTCCACATCTCTCCGCCTTATGTAACAGTTGCTGCTATATATTCTGACTCACTGTTTCCTTGGCTCCAACCGCTGACTTTATCTGTTCACGCCCTAATGGAAAGCTTTCTATTGAATGAAGGCTCTTGTGCTGCTGTCTGTTCTATGGAAAATGCACATAATTACATTCTTCAGAGCAAGTTGACAGAAAAGATCGCTATGAATACGGCAAGCTCTCAGACGACACTGGCAATTCCCTGAAACTGATGCAAACTAGGAGAACACCCAGGGGATTTGCATCCGAATGAACACATCCAGTACATTTTGGGTGTTTGTGCCTCCCCACCCCTCTATGCATTTTATTTGCTTGCATGCACAATTGTACTACAGGATTTTTCAGTGTCACCGTTAGATTCTGGGTTAGATTCTTTGGGGGGGGGAGGGGGAAGGAAATCCGTAGGTCAGCACCTTTCCCATGCGCTATGAGAACATTGCTGCATTTATGAGTCCTTTTGATGGATTATATTAGTGTGGCAAAATAGGAGCCAATGGCATTGTTGATCTGAAATTATTTCAAGCTAGTAATTGGCATACTGGCACAAGTTTTCACTTAAAAGAATAAATTAGGCAATGTTTAAATAATGCAGTGAATCTTTTGAATAATACAAACACGTCTTCTGGGCATGGGCCACCCAATTTTGCCACCCGAGGTGAAGAACAAGATGGTGTCTGTGCTCCCAGTCCACACACAGAAGCAGACTTGTCTGCCAATGGAATCCTGTTTTTCAAATACTTTTTCCAAATATTTTTAAATTTCTACCAAATAATTGAATCCCCCCCCCAAATAATTATATTCCTAATCTAGAAGTTGGATAGGAAGTAGTAGTCATGTACAATTTCAGAATTTTAAAGTAGTCAAATAAATGTTGAGTGCCTTGGGAAAAAAATTAAAAAAGGAGTTTAAAGTTCCTCAATTAACAATGAAGTTAATAGGGTTTTTTTTTAAAAAAACAAGCTTTTACAAACAAAAGAGGAATGAAAGAATATTAGATATAGTCTTTAACAGTCATTGTATCTGAACAGTAATTGTATTGTGTTTTTTGTGTAGAAAGTTATGTGCATTGCTGTGGGAAATTTGGCTCTCAATTGAACAAGTTTAATGAATAAATAATACATAATATTATAATGTGCCTTCTTGAAATTGTAGTGCTGTTCCATAGCACTGAGCCATGGCAGTTGAAGTGAGCTCAAACTCCATTAATTCTACTGTGCATATACACCCACATACACATACTTAGAGCATTAAGATATGCCTGGAGGCCCTGCTCTTGATCCCACCCTCTTTGCAAGCATGACTGGTGGGGATGAGAGACAGGGCCTTCTTAGTGGTGGCCCCTTGGCTGTGGAACTCCCTCACCAGTGACATTAGATTGGCTCTCGCCCTCCTGATGTTCAGGAAAAAGCTAAAGACCTGCTCTGGAAGCAGGCATTTGGGGAGCAGTGTAATATGGAATTCAACTTAAACACAGCACCGCAAATAACAACTATGAGACAAGGCATTATGTTTTAATCTGTTTTAATTGTGTTATATGTTTTATTGGTTTTATTGCTTTATGTGTTGTAATTGTTTATTTGTATTTATAATGCAGTATTGAAATTTGCCATAATTGTAAAGTGCTCTGAGTCCCCTTTGGGGTGAGAAGAGCAGGGTGGAAATATGCCGCAGTAAATAAAATAAATAATAAATGAATTGCAAAGTTCTCTGAAGTCTAACAAAAGGGTAACACCCTCCTCAAATCTATATGTAATAACTTGAAAAATATGAGAACCAGCATAGTGTCATGGTTTCAGCATTGTCCTACGCTTCTGGAAACTAAGCTTCGATTTCCCACTCAGCCGTGGAAACTCACTGGATAACTTTGGGCAGGCCACATGCTGTCAGTGCCTGAACCACATGATAACTTCATTTGTGGGTTGTCATGAGTCGGCAGCACACAGTATTTATTAAAATAGAGGTCAATTGAAGTGGAGATAAAGGTAGGTAAAGTTTTTTCCCTGACATTAAGTCCAGTCGTGTCCGACTCTGGATTGTGGTGCTCATCTAAATTTCTAAGCCGAAGAGCTGGTGTTGTCCGTAGAAACCTCCAAGGTCATGTGGCCAGCATGACTGCATGGAGCGCCCTTACCTTCCTGCCAGAGTGGTACCTATTGATCTACTCACATTTGCATGCTTTCGAACTGCTCGGTTGGCAGAAGCTGGGGCTGACAGCGGAAGCTCATGCTGCTTCCCGAATTCGAACCTGCGACCGTTTGATCAACAAGCTCAGCAGCTCAGCGCTTTAACCCACTGCACCACTGGGGGCTCCCTTAATATAGTATACCTTAGTTTAAATTTTAAAGCTGTTCTACAATCTTGGTCTACTGTGTGTGTATAGTTTCTATAGACACATATCTTTAATATCTATTTCACCACTTTGTAGAAACAAGACTTGTGAAACTATATTATAAATCATGCAGAATTCAGTTTCAGGTTTCTTTACTCATGATATTATATGTAACTTTGAAGGAAGTGTGCAAGTTGCCCTTCAAATTAAGACTTGATTTCATCTACGGTGTATCATTCAGGTTCTTCCTCCTTCATTTCCTGTTCACTTTGTCCTCTTGATGGCCATAACAATTGCCTCATTGTAAAGCTGATTAAGTGGCAGACTGGAGATGCTAGATCTGCGCACCCTATGACACTGAAGACAGCATTGCTCTTTTCTCTTTTCCAAACAAGAAAATGAATCTCACAGATCTCTAGAGGAAAGAACAGTAAAAAAAAAGAACATCATCCAGTGTGCCTTTCAGTGGAGGTCTTCCTGGCGGTATATTGCTTAAAATACTACTAATAAAATGTAAGTATACCTTAGTGACTGTGAATGAAGTTGATTACAAGCAATGGATTGTTTTTGACTCATAATTTTAAAGATATGCTATGGTCTTAAGAAATGTATACCTGAGCTAACTTTGCATACCATTTCCCCCTCATAATATTAAGGGAAAAAACGACAGATACTTTAGAGAAATATTATCTTATTCATCTTAGTAATTACATGATGTTAAGAGAGAAAGAGCCATAAATGCAAATACTGCTAAAAATTAATAAAACATGAACTTGAACTTATATGCTAATCAAAAAATAGAGAATGGACGCCACATCCTTGTCAAGGACTGCCTTGCAGGTCTTTTTTTGATTAATGTATTCTTTCAAGTAAAGAACTTATTTTACATTATTTAAAACTCCATCAGCTTATTAACATGGGAGGCCGGCAGAGCCATGGCTCCCAGCTAGATGGTGCCATGATGGAGTTCTGCTAGTATCCCTCGACCAATCAGTAACCACTTTGGTTGGATGTGAGGATCACCACTGGTCATCTTCAGCAGCCATTGTACACCTGGGGAAAACCTATTGCCCAAGGAGGTAATGGAGACTGCACTGTGTGACACCAAAATAAGTACTTATACTAGCCCCTGTTATGCTAGTAGAATTCACCAATAAGATTCCAGGCAATGTGTTATATTTTCCATATATACAATATCTAAAAGTTGGCCAACCTTCCCAGTTTACCTGAATGGTAGTGTGATGTCAGGATGTTAATGCTGTTAGTATTGTTTTATTTGACAAAAAGGGCCCATACAATGGTGAAATGTTCATTGTTAGTACCATACATTAATTCCAAACAATTCCTTTAATTTATTGTTGAAGGCTTTCATGGCCGGAATCACAGGGTTGTTTGTAGGTTTTTTCGAGCTATATGGCCATGTTCTAGAGGCCATTCTCTCTAGAGGAGAGAATGCCCCTAGAACATGGCCATATAGCCTGAAAAAACCTACAACAACCCAATTCCTTTAATTACAATCGAATTCTTATATCGTCAATGGATATGATATGTTCAGAAATTCAAAATACTCCAACGTTTTCCACATGCGTGGCTGAGATAGTGACACCTTTGCTTTCTGATGCTTCAGTTACACAAACTTTATTCCATGCACAAAATATTAAAAATATTATATACAAGCACCTTCAGGCTGTGAATATATGAAACATAAATGAATGTCATGTTTAGATTTGGATCACATTTCCAAAATATCTCATTAGGCATGTCTATGCAAATACAGGTATTCCAAAACATGAAAAAAAAAAACCTGACACGGAAAACCCATCAAGTCCCAAGTATTTTGGATAAAAGATGCACCGCTTGTATAACCTTTTCTCTCCAAAGCCAGCATTATTGATAAATGTCAACAAATATGTAAGTACCATTTATGTTGCCCCATTCCCTTGAGTTTTTCCTAAGATGGAATCTAAGGCTCACTAAATTTAGGTGGTATAGCTCATATTTTTCTAAATATCTATTACAGATTGTTAGCCTATGGAAAAATATGATATGGTTTATAGCAGAATTTTATTAATATTTCACTTTGTCTATAAGTGTATGGTGACTTGCATCCTTAAGTTTATATTATTTTTTTTCAATGGTCAAGAAACTCTATTATCAGGGATTTACCAGAGAATTTCCATAAAAGACTATCCAAACTTTCACTTAGAAATGACTTGTCATTTGTCTGTACCAACAGCCCGCTGCAATCCCTAGTAAGAGACTGCTGTTTTGTAATTCAAAACATTGAAAGGGCCAAAGCTTTCCTTTCCTAATCCTAAAAACAATGGTGATCCAAGACTGCAAAGGTTAAATTAAAGCCTTAGTGAGCTGGGTTCAGCGTGATGTGTTTACATTGGTTAATCTTGATGGAAATAAAAAAATTATCAAGCACTATGTTAGTATTTCCTAAGTAAACAAGTTGAACACTATCTTTACAGGCATCTTTTTTTTTTTTAAGAAATAGCATAAAATACATCGTCTCTTACCTTCCACAAGGCAAGAATGAATCCAAGAAGTTGTCCTGTTCTGCTGCAACAATTCTCAGGATCACATCATAAATGGCAACAGGTCAGAGTTCCAAGCTGGAAAGATAAAAACCACCATTTGATTGCTATGGGCTTTATTGACGCAAGTATCTTATTTAGGGAGGAGGCACCTGCTAGCTATTACAGTGTGCCTAGCCAATCTGTTATTGATTGCAACATGACAGCTGTATGTACACCTTATGACTATATAATCAGCCAGATTGGTAAATATTTAACCTTGGAAAAGGCATGGTTTTTGTGCACAATTGCAAAGTGATGAGAATGTGTGCCTGGCAAAAATCTTTACCCTTTGTAAAGGTGGGCAAGCAGCAAGATGACAAAGGAAAGGCGGAAAGGCAAATGCTTTATAGAAGCTTTTGGTGTATGAGAAGGTTTCTGACCCTTTGCCAGAAAAAATGACTCATGGATTTTGAATTTGATTACTCTAGTAGCATTTTGCACATCCCTGACTATATCCCCGCCAGGCTTACATGCAACCAGAATAGTGTCTGACAGATGTCTACAGCATGTATTGTTTCCAGATGTCTGTTCACAAATGGGAAAATGTTACAAATGGTTAATTAAGCCTCATCAAAGCCTTCTAATTGACAATATCCAAGCTGTACTTTCCAGTAATTTCATTTTAAAAATAAAACAGATGAAGTGAGGTAAAGTCTCCCTCTGGCGGAGGCATCATGATATCACAATGAATGCTTCTGAGTTATATGTGAAATTGTCATGCTCCTGAAATGACTGCAATGTGAAGGATGGTCAGTTATTTCTTTTTGGAAGGATCTCTGGCTCCAGCCATTTGGCATAATGAAGCAGCCTCTGCAGGTAGCAGATATTGGAGGTTAGGAGCAGCAATGGGGTGTTGAAGGGTCGAGCATCAAGAGTTACACAGGTTGCACAATGCCCCTAAGTTAGTTTGATGTAGGACTGCAATGAAGTTGGATTGTCACTTTTGGTGATAGTCCCTTTTGTATGATGTTTCGTGCATCCTGCTGTTGCCTTCCTCTTCCCCACAATTAACGAATTATCCTGGTATTGATGAGCAAAACACATCACACATCAATAATGTTTTTGTCACCTACCTTGTATGATGGGTCAGTATGCCATCACACAAGGTCAGGATGCCAATACTGAAATGATGCCAGCGGGTGGGATTTTCTTCCTTTCCCTTCACTAATCCTGAGCTGTTTGTTTTTTTTAATTCACAGTAACAGTTTGCTTTTTAAAAAAGTAACCATTGCTGGAACTGCAAAATGTCTTTAAAATAAAAATATATGTAGCTATGGAAGTGCAGAAAGGTGAGATTACGAGGATATGCAAAAGTACGATCATGGGACCATAGATCGTCATGTTGGTGCTATTATGTGAATGGAGAGATTTGAGGATGAGGGACTCATGCCAGTATGTAGCCTTTATCACTGATGTTGTGAAGGTTGTGGAATAGTGGCTTCGTGTGATAAAATCCAAAGTAATCGATGAAAGACATCCATGTATGTTTATAAGGCAAATGGCAGTAATTGAAACTGTAAACCCAGTTTGAGCCTCTCTTCAAAGAAAATATTTATCTATTTTATAGGGCATAGGGCATATAGGCACTGTTTTAGATAGAAAATTCAAAATTTTAAAATCAGAAATAATATCTAGCCATTTCTATATAATTATAATTATTTTATTTCTTGCCCATCTCTCCTCATGTCTCGAGGTGGGTTACAACTTGCTAAAAGACATAATCAAAACTCATAATCATTTAAAAACACTCTGTAGAATACACATATTAAAACATATTTCCATAAAATACATATTAAAATACACAAAACAAAAGTTAGACATAGAATGGAAGTTTAAAATTTATCATTAAAACTGTTTATCATTAAAATATATATTCCATCACAGTGTGCACAGGGTGGGAAAGGATGGTAGCTACTAAAAAAAGTGGTACATTGCTTATTATTATTTCTTTCAAACATTTAGATCCTGTCCTTCTCAACCTCACGGGGGGGACGGGGGACGGGGGGGACTCAGGGTGGCTTACAACTGGCAGCCATTAGATGCCAAAAGTCACAATACAAAGCAAATTAACATTAAATAGACAATTAGTTATAAATATACATTAAAATATCAGAACTTTAAAATATTAAAACATAGCCAAGCCCAATCTCAAATCCAACTGAGAGTCCAAAGTTCCATTCCAAAGTCTATCTATTATCCATTTCCATGAATCTGTTCAGTCAGCTTCCCGAATGCAATAATTTGACCTTTTTTCTAAAGGAAAGGAGAGAGGATGTTGTCCTGATTTCACTAGGGAGTGTGTTCCATAGACGGGGGGCCACCACTGAGAAGGCCCTGTCTCTTGTCTCCGCCAACCGCACTTGCGAGGTTGGCGGGATCTAAAGCAGTACCTCCCCTGACAATTGTATGCTCCGAGGTGAACTTCTTCTTCTAACAATATTCTTATATAAGTTAGCAAAATGCCCCTCTTTTGTTTTTGGAAGGTGAGATTAATCTCAGATCTCCTCTCCCTCTTCCCAATAACCTAATATATTTCATTTTAGCTTTAGCTGGGAAGGCTCTTCTTTCTGCATACGTGTTCTTCGCAAGAATGTATGTGTGGAGCATAAGGAGAAAGCCAAAAGATTTTTAATATAGTCAGAGAAGCCTGCATTTTGAGTTATTGATACCAGCAAGAAAATTGTAACTTTAAATGTATTTCTAATAATTTTTGTGAATTACTCCTGAGTGTGGAGCAAAAATAACACTGAAATGAAATTTGAATGGAACAGTTGCAAACACTGCCATTTGATTTTTTTAGCAATAACTGTTCCTTACAATTTAGATGAAATGAATAGAATAGCTGCCTGTGGAATTTTTCTATTAATAGAACTAACCTGATTAATTTAGAACTAGAAGCAGATTGTTGACAGAGATGGCTACATGAGAGCTACCATGGAAACAGAGAGGTCAGGATTGCATCAACAGCGGAAGGGAGCATTTCAGCTACATTAGAAACTTGAGATAGGAAGAACGAAATAAAGCTGAATTTACCAAGCTGTTCATGTCAGAAAATTTAGCTGCTAATATGTCTACCAGATTTTTAGACTTTTTAAAGTCAGCAAGCCCCTGCAGTTTCTTGATGAAATTTGGAGTCCCTGAAATTTGCCTAATTTGGCCCTGAGAACTGGATGATGTTCTAAAGGTTACACCTACTGAAGAAAATGCAAGAAGGTGTACAGTATACCTGTAATCCTTAGGTGAGAAGTGTATACATTTTTTATCTGCTATAATAATACAACATATTGCTTTGTACTAACATGTCCATAATAAAAAAACCCATTAAATTTCAAAATTGTGTCCCATATCCATGAAATTCAAATCACCAGGAAATATGTAGCTTTCCACTGAATGTACTACAGATGCTGTGGTATATCTTAAAATATTGATAACATATTTCAAGAAAGTAATATTTTTCTAATTTAACTTTCAATGCCAAGGTTTCACTGTTTCACTAAATAATAATTTAAAATAAATTAAAAGAAAGTTAAAAAAAAGAAAGGAGGGGAGAAATAAAGAAAGAAGGGTCACTGTCATTAGAAATGAGGTTTGTATTACTACCATATTTGCTTGCATATAATGTGCCATTGAATGTAATGCCACTTCAATTTTAAAGATGTACATTACAAAAAAGAAAGAATTTGCTGTCAATCGTAATGTGAGGTGGCGGCGGCAGTGAAACTGCTGGTGGAAAGTCCTTCCCTCTGTATAATAATAATAATAATAATAATAATCATCATCATCATCATCATCATCATCATCATCATCTTTAGATGAAGGGCTAGAAGGCAGGATCATCAAGTTTGCAGACGACACCAAATTGGGAGGGATAGCCAATACTCCAGAGGACAGGAGCAGGATTCAAAACGATCTTGACAGATTAGAGATATGGGCCAAAACTAACAAAATGAAGTTCAACAGTGACAAATGCAAGATACTCCACTTTGGCAGGAAAAACGAAATGCAAAGATACAGAATGGGGGACAATGCCTGGCTTGAGAGCAGTACGTGTGAAAAAGATCTTGGAGTCCTCGTGGACAACAAGTTAAACATGAGCCAACAATGTGATGTGGCGGCAAAAAAAGCCAATGGGATTTTGGCCTGCATCAATAGGAGCATAGTGTCTAGATCTAGGAAAGTAATGCTACCCCTCTATTCTGCTTTGGTTAGACCACACCTGGAATATTGTGTCCAATTCTGGGCACCACAATTGAAGAGAGATATTGACAAGCTGGAATGTGTCCAGAGGAGGGCGACTAAAATGATCAAGGGTCTGGAGAACAAGCCCTATGAGGAGCGGCTTAAGAAGCTGGGCATGTTTAGCCTGAAGAAGAGAAGGCTGAGAGGAGATATGATAGCCATGTATAAATATGTGAGAGGAAGCCACAGGGAGGAGGGAGCAGGCTTCTTTTCTGCTTCCCTGGAGACTAGGACGCGGAACAATGGCTTCAAACTACAAGAAAGGAGATTCCATCTGAACATGAGGAAGAACTTCCTGACTGTGAGAGCCGTTCAGCAGTGGAACTCTCTGCCCCGGAGTGTGGTGGAGGCTCCTTCTTTGGAAGCTTTTAAACAGAGGCTGGATGGCCATCTGTTGGGGTGATTTGAATGCAATGTTCCTGCTTCTTGGCAGGGGGTTGGACTGGATGGCCCATGAGGTCTCTTCCAACTCTTTGATTCTATGATTCTATGATTTATATCCTGCCACCATCTCCCCAAGGGGACTCAGAGTGGCTTACATGAGGCCAAGCCCAACAATACAGCAATACAAATATACAACATAGGAATACAATAGTAAAATATAAAGAAAACTAGTAAAAAATAAAATACAAGAAACAATATAAATAAGCTCAATGAACAATATAAAATTGCAATAATTGAACACAAAAAAGAAAAAAATCACAGTGGGTAAGGACAGTTGCAAAGATTAAAAGTGTAAAAACACTGGGTGAGAGAGCAATGTAATGTATCTGGACAGGGGATCCGGGGGACGAAAATAGGGATTAATTATACTAGCAGGTAAAATAAAGTGCTTCCGAGGGCATTTTTGCAGGGTATAGCCTTCCCACCAGCTGGGCCCTGTTACCCAAAAGAGCAGATGATTCTGACATGCCACCAAATCTAATGTGCAGCAGTGCTATAATCAATTTCAGCAATGCTAT